TACCACTGATATTTTATCCATGGTGAGACCCACCTCCCCCTGGGAGCTCTCTGCTCCTTTCCCTGCAAAGAGCATTTTCCTATGACATTCAAGCTAGAAACAGCAATGTCACTGGGGTGGATGGAAAGGGGCAGACGACACCCAGGTTTATTGCAGAGCAGGGACCTGCCCCCTTTGGGAAAGGGCTGATTAGTGAGGAAATGCTGCCCCCTGGTGTCACCTTTGCAGGGGGTGCCTGGGCTCTGCAGGATGGACATTCTTATCTGGCCATAACCGAACAGAACTGCCAAGCTCTCTCCTCCCAGCAGCAGGATCAGACCAGGCTTTCGCCACAATTTCCTTCTAGCGTAACAGGCCCAGACAGGGGCTGTTCAGTGTCCCCTGGATTTGGGCGAAGGGAGGCCCTGTCCCCACTGCAGGGGCACACAGGTTTTTATAACCAGCTTGTGACACTCCCTTGACCCAGTTACAACAAATTGTGCCAACAAGGCAGCTTTTCTGCCTCACAGCCGTGGCTGAGCTGTGTGTGTGTGTTTGCTCCCAGCCTGCTGCCTGACCATGTGTGTGTCCTGGTGAATGCTGGGAGAGTCTGGGCAGCTCCCTGGCAGCTCCAGGGGCTGTGTGCACACATTACAGCACCACTGGCCCAGGTGTCCATGCACCCCAGGGTGTCCTACCACACAGAGCTGGGAGGGACGGGGTGCCCAGGACAGTTACACAAACACCGTTGAGGTCCTGTTAGGGTCACCACCTCTGCTCCACATACACCACCTGTCCCCACACCCAGAGCACCGTGTCCCCGTCTCACCCACGGGAGAGGGCACCAGACCCTGCAGGTCCTGTTCATTTGACTGCCTCAGGCACCAACCTCACCAAGTAGTTTATGGCCCTAAATCTACCCCACTGCCCCTGGTGGTGACCCCCACAGCTGATACCTCCATGGTGCCCCAAGCGCCACATCTCACTCACTGCTCCCAAGGTGCCCCGTCCCCGGGGCTCCCAGACACTCTGGACCCAGATCTCTCTCTGTTCAGCAACCACACCCCGCAGCCCCCCTGCTACAGCCACTGACACACCTGGGCCTAGTAGCATCCTGGACAGACTCACAGATTTCCCAGGACAGCGAACTGAACATAGGGACGATCCTGGGAAACCTGGACAGGTGCCAACCCTAGGTCCTGTCCACACAGCACAGTAAAACCCAGCTGAGC